TCGAAGGTCGTAGTTGTAAGCTGTAGCCCCGGCTGGCCCGTTTAGTGGAAATGCGGCTAATCATTTCTGAATTCTGACTGGCATATAACGAACAAATCAAACAAACGTAAACGGGCAAAGGCTGCAGCCCACTCAAGCCCAATGGTAAGTCCGGCCATGACAACAGATGTAACAAATAACAAAGGTAGGTTTACAAAGACTTTTAGAGGAATAAAAGCATAGTAGTTAATAACTAGGCCTATATATTATTTAATAATACTATTACAAAGTACTTAATTTTATAAAATAATTTTAAAAATGTTATCTTGAACTACAAATTGTCATATGACCAGCCAGTTACTGAAAACAATCGGCTCATATTTTGATTTCCTAGAGAAGCGGCTCGTACTGTAAGAGGAGGCTCGTCTGCACAGAACCAGATGAGGAATGGAGAAATCATCCAGAGCTGCGTCATTTGTATGAAAGAGAAGAGCGAGTCCATGGAGAGACATGAAATATAGCGACATGCGTTTCATTTGCCTGGATGAGTGATACAGTCTGATCATGGGCCATGTGAATATCTGACCGCTGAATGCAGAGATTGACCTGACAGAATCAAGGATCAAGTATTTCAGAGAAATCATTCAAAGAGGCCCGTTACTGTGCCCCAGCTCTTTTACACAACGTATACATGACTTTTGATGTCATTCTTATTAATGATATCAATTAACCCCAAAACTGCTTTGACTGACTCAATCTCACAAATGTTGATATTCAGATGAAACGGCAAAATGAAGAAGAGCAGAGCTAATCAATAATTTGGCATGAGATATTGTGCCAGCTATGAAGGTTTGTCATCTCAAACGAGTCATTCACTGACCGAGCTGTGTGCTTCTGATTCTCTTAAGAGCCATTTCTTCTGGAATTGCACTGTATGTGTCATACTGTAAATGTGTTGTGTAGTACTGGGGGTTTTGATTCCTCTCAAGAACCTAAAAGATTAGTTCACTGATTCGTACATTAGCTATAATGTATTACACCAGACAGTGGCGACGGATGAGCGAGTGTTATGAGTGAGTCTTTGAACTGATTCATTAAAAAGCAACAAGGCTCATGCCTCAAAGTTTTGCAGTTTGTCTACAAATGTAGTAAAAATGAAATCACAGATTAGTTTAGTCCAGAGTGTTCTTCTGTTCATTAAAACTGACCGATGACGTGCTGCTTCTCACTGTGCGCTTGAATCACACTATAGTTAGTTAGTTAGTTAGTTAGTTAGTTAGTTAGTTAATCAGGAGAAAACATGGAATCCAGGGCAAATTACAAGGTGAATGACATTTGCTCTGACAAGTAAACTTTGCATTTGCTTCAGGAATCTTGTTTTATTTTTTCTCTGAGTTGTGTTAGTCTGTTGGAAGAACAGGGTCACTTGTAAACTCTTATCAGTGCTTGACTTACTCAAACCACAGAGTCAATCGATCAGTTGAGAGCCTTTAACTCGGTAAAAGTAAGCATTAAAAAGTCTGAAGTCAGTGTTCTGAAGCTGATATTTAGTGTGCATGATGTCACATACTCTAATGCTGTTTGGTTTCACATAAACATTTGACATGATTTGGTTTTACATAAGCAGTTTGATCCAGTGCCAGAACTGCGGTGGATTCACAGAGCTGTTGCATCATTTCCAGAGCGTGTCAAGACGAGCGTCGCTATCAGCGCTTCGAGGGACTCCTGATAGCAGCTGTTTTACTCCAGCTGATAAATCAAACCCAGTGACCTCTCGCTATCAACATACAGGCCGAGTTTCATTCAGCAAATAATTGTGACATCCCGCTCCCACGCGGCAGATGGCTGTATGAGTGGAAAGATGTGTTTACCGAGTCCTGTTTCCCAGCATGCACTGCACAGCCGTGTGTTTGAAGTGCTAGAATGGGCCAGGTTTGAACTTCTCAAGGTTACAGCGATAGAGACGAGGGAGGAGCCGCGCACCGATAACGTTCTGCATGTGCTTTTAGAAAATAGGTGACTTAGATCTGGAGTTCTCAAACACGTTTTATAGCTGTACATTCAGCTTCATTCTCTTACTGGAAACACTACTGTACACACACTGTGCAAACACTAGCAATGGCATCGTCCAATATTTCAAGAAAATGAATACTAAATCAGCCGAGCTCGCTGAGTGACCTACTTCTTGAGTGTTTGCGGTTTGATGAGCGGCAGTCGTGTTCGGTGTGTAAATACAGCACTTCTGTACTCTGCCTTGACTAATATGTATATTTAGTAAGATTATTGATTTAACGGCACTATCAGATGAGAACAAACTTGATCTGAACACTATTGTCTTCTGTAGAGATGCTTATAGCTGACTTGTTTCAACACTGAACTGATCTGAAAAATGACACTTTGTCTTGTTTAGAGCTGCTTTACAGCAGAATCTGAAGTTTGCATCGGTTCTGTTATTTTTGTGTTTATTCATGGGAAGCTGCTTTGAAACGATCTGTATTGTATAAAGCGCTACAGACGTAAAGTGACTTGACTAATTATTGTACTACTGTAAACAGCTGAACACAATTGAAACATACAGACATGCATTTATTTAATGAAGGTACTCAACTGTTTGCTCAGGATCGTTTTCAGAAATGGCTGTTTGGGACAAGGTGCTTTGTTCTTAATTCATTGATTAGGATATTCATTCAAAACTATGCTCTGATATGTTTGTATGTTACTGTTACAGTTGGCTGTAAAACATACAGATTTGGCAGAAATTGTAACTGGTAGAATGCTTTCATCTTTCTCTGGTGGACTCATCCGTGTTGTTCAGTGTAAAAAAAAAATCCGTAAAATTTACGGTAAAAAACGGTAGCTGTGGTTGCCAGAATTTTACCGTAAAAAAATACGGTAGCAGCATTTTAGGTTTTACGGTTTTAACTTAAATTTACAGTTAAATACCGTAATTTCATTAACTGATATAATGTTAATGTACCAACCCACTGAAGTACTGAAATCTGTTTTGTACCTTTGTAAACACTGCACCAAAAGCAGGTGATGATGAGAAAGTCTTATTCACTGTAAATTATACGTTTTTTTTCACTTCCAAAAACGGTATACTACCGTAAAATTAATGTCCAATACAGTTTCACTGTATATAGTAGGGGAATTTACCGTTAACCATTTAACAGGTTTTTACTGTAGCATTTTTACAGTCTTTTACTGTTAAATTCACGGTCATTTTTTACAGTGTTGTCTTGTCCAGGATTCACGGCTCTTTGGAGTAACTGTGGACGCGGATTTCCTCATGATGGCTTTAATGTAGGCCTATTTACATGGAACTGTTATTAGTCGAAGATCCGTATGAACTCTGCCCAAGGGCTGGAGGACTGAAGGGTTCAGCTCAATACACACATCGACTCAAACAGCTGCTGGACCAGGACTCTTGATCTCTACTGGAATGGCTTGCATTCATTCATTTGTTGAGTGTCCTGCTGCACATAACAAAAGACATATGTTTTATAAACGGCACGTTTGTGTCTCAATGCTCTCATGCTTTTTAAACAATGCTCTTGTTTTTTTTTGCTCCTCTCTTACCATAAGTTTTAGGGAAAACCCATTGACTGCATTGATCTTTTGCCTTGTTTTTCCATTGATGCCTTCTATGACAAAATGTGTTCTTTAAATAATATCTTTCAATTTGTCTACCACATCAGCTCTCAGCTTGTCCTGGTTTTTACTACGCTTTGTTGAGTAAAGCAGTAGTCTGTTGCATATGATCGCCACCACTATGTTCGTTTATTTAAATCTTGTACCAGTTTTTGGTGCTCATGATAAACGGCCGTGTGCACTGGTCATGCTCTACCAGCAGATTTAAAATGGAACTGCTGTAACTTCATATTAGACAGTTATTTAAAAAAAAAAAAAACTCAGTTTTTCTATGGCGCTATAACAACCATTTTGAGGTCCTTGACTCGACCAATGGCGTGAGTCGGGGGCGTGGCTAAGGGTTTGTTCGCTCATTGGCTGACGGGGATTCGGAAAGGAATGTGTATTTGTGCTGCTCGCGCAGAAACATACTTAAGCTTTGAACTATTTATATTTTCTTGCAAAAACACAATAACGTAGCCTACTGTTGCTCATATCCTTCTTACCGCTAATACCCTCTTCGAGTCTGTTAATCTGGCTCCCAGACTGCTTACATTTCCCTCTTGGTCAGCATTTAAGATCACTTGTAATGTACTCGACACAGAGATGTACATTAATTATAACCCTGGTAATTATAGACTGTTTCTGAGATCAAAACATGATGACAATTGTTTTTTGTTGCGTTGGAATCTTAAACAAAACTTAAGTTTGATGCGACCTCAACATCAGACTAATGTTTTTTCAGCTCAGAAATATTATTTATCCTTTTCTCTGTCTGGAAAGCTGATCAATAGCTGTGTTTTTCTGGCATTGACGTGCAGTTGCGACGCGCTCCTTGCTGAGCTCTGCTGTATGGAGTCTGAACTCTGGCCCTCGAGCTCCAGTTCCTGCAGAACTGATCTCAAACACAGCTGAACAAGCTCATCGAGGTCTTCAGGACTGCTAGAAGGCTACTGGCAGGGCTTGCGGAGTTTAAACTCTGCAGGAAAGTCTGCTCTCAGTCAGTTAGTTCTATGGAGGACTTTAAGTATGCATGCATCTAATCTAAAGCCATTTGACTCTTTTAATTGTTTTTGGATTTAAAGTTAATCGTGCATATTGATATGCATTTTTATTCGTTTCTTTTACGTGTTTTTACTTTTATATCTTGTTTCTTTTGTTTTATACCTTTGAAGGCGCCGTATAAAAGTAAATATTATTATTATTATTGTTATTACGCAGCAGTAGCGAGTGTGGAGTGCGGCTGAGCGCTGAGCACGTGCTGCTGTCAGGATCCGCTGCTGCTGCAGTTTCGCTCGTGACCCTTGCCATCTGCGCGCGCACTATAAAAGCGCGTCCCCGCGGCGCCTCGGGTCAGAACTGCCGCTGCATGCGCGAGAGCTCCAGTCCCGAACCAGAACCAGAACCAGAACCAGAGCACCATGCTGCGAGTGCGATGCCTGAGAGGAGGGAGCCGCGGAGCTGAAGCCGCTCATCTGATCGGCGCTATGGTGAGAGTAAAGCGCTGCAGTGCCACATGCGAGTGTGTGCTGAGATCCCAGAAACCATACCTCCACAGTAATCACAGCGGATTCATTTGATCATAACAATAGACTTGTAGTGTTAAACTCTGAACTGCATTCTCTTTTACAGGTGGAGCGAGATTATAAGTCTTTGACTCTACTGTAAATCATGTTCTTAGAAACAGTTGCATTGGCTCAGAGCTGGAGATCGTGTGTTATGAGTGAGTGACAGCACAGCTGTAGATCAGAGATCCTCCTCCTCGATCACTAACCCAGACTGTGACTCCAGGATCATGAAGAGAGCGTCCAGTGCTGGAGATCAGATCAGATCAGATCAGAGCGTGCTGAAGCGCAGGCGGCGCGTTATAGTCGCGCGATCATGCTGCACACTTTCTCCGGAGCGTCATGTGTGATCTGTTAACAATCTGCGTGTGTGTGTGTGTGTGTGTGTGTGTGTGCGTGAGAGGGAGTGTGTGTGTGTGTGTGTGAGAGTGTGTGTGTGTGTGTGTGAGAGTGAGAGTGAGAGTGTGAGTGCGTGAGTGAGAGTGTGTGTGTGTGTGTGTGAGAGTGAGAGTGAGAGTGTGAGTGCGTGAGTGAGAGTGTGTGTGTGTGTGTGTGAGAGTGAGAGTGAGAGTGTGAGTGCGTGAGTGAGAGTGTGTGTGTGTGTGTGTGAGAGTGAGAGTGAGAGTGTGAGTGCGTGAGTGAGAGTGTGTGTGTGTGTGTGTGAGAGTGAGAGTGAGAGTGTGAGTGCGTGAGTGAGAGTGTGTGTGTGTGTGTGTGAGAGTGAGAGTGAGAGTGTGAGTGCGTGAGTGAGAGTGTGTGTGTGTGTGTGTGAGAGTGAGAGTGAGAGTGTGAGTGCGTGAGTGAGAGTGTGTGTGTGTGTGTGTGAGAGTGAGAGTGAGAGTGTGAGTGCGTGAGTGAGAGTGTGTGTGTGTGTGTGTGAGAGTGAGAGTGAGAGTGTGAGTGCGTGAGTGAGAGTGTGTGTGTGTGTGTGTGAGAGTGAGAGTGAGAGTGTGAGTGCGTGAGTGAGAGTGTGTGTGTGTGTGTGTGAGAGTGAGAGTGAGAGTGTGAGTGCGTGAGTGAGAGTGTGTGTGTGTGTGTGTGTGTAAGCGTAATGATCTGTCAAAGTTGTAAATAAAACAAAGATAATTGGAATATGTTTTACAAGAAAGTGCTATTTCAAGCCTAAAACTTTCACGGTTAATTTACTAGCTGATATGAATAGTTTCTTCACCATTTTTTTCGTTAAAGAACATGTAAAGCACTTTTGAGTTTTGACTAATTCAGCTCATTAAGGCCTCCATAAGTCGCACCTGCATTAATTGCATTGCTCTTTCTTGATTTTGTTGCTGATCTCTGCGCTCCGCTTGCTCTGTGTCGCGCAGGTGGGTCGCACGGCGTCGGGATGGGTGTCGCGCGCATTCCGCAGCACCTCGAGCTCCGCCGCCGCGCTCCCGCTCACCGTGGACGAGCCGTTTACCGAGCCCGCGCCCGAGGAAAGCCCCGTGTGCGCGCACACCGAGTGGGACCCGCTGGAGGAGGTGATCGTAGGCAGAGCCGAGAACGCCTGCGTCCCCCCGTTCACCGTGGAGGTCAAGGTACAGCTGCGGGGGAAACAATCCAGTCAAGTGTGGTTTCATTGCAGATACAGACGTGTTGTGTCTCAGCTCACAGACAGCACACTGCGGTGGAAGTACTTATATCTGTACCGTTATATTTACTGTTACTTCAAAGAATACCATGGTACATGTCCAAAAGACCATCTTTTGTTGCTGATACAACAACAGGACATATAAATATAGACAGAATACAGTGTAAATAAACTGGGTCCATTTTCAGAAGCACTGCCAATATGTTAAGAACTAGTCTGACCAACTAGCAGTTAGTCAAGGGGTCTGTCTTAAGTTCAGGATTCACATTACATCTGTTACTGACATAAGTCATGACAAGCCCTAAAAAAACAGAGCTTCAGCATTTAAAGCAATAGACAATAAAACTGCAGTGTGCATATAATAAACAATGTTATCGTCCATTTGTGTGAACACTAATATAATTATCATTATAGTTATTATCATCCATTGGTGTGAACAGACCTTAACTTGTAGGGTTAGTCTCTAAGCTATAAAATATGAAACCAGCCACAGAAGTCCTTCCCATCACATTAGAGTACTGCTAACCCTAACCAGTCCTAACCCGACGCTGCTGCTGCTGTGTGTCTGCAGGCCAACACCTATGAGAAATACTGGCCCTTCTACCAGCAGTTCGGGGGACAGACATTCCCGAAGGACCACGTGAAGAAAGCAGTTGCTGAAATCGAGGAAATGTGCAATATTCTGCAGCATGAGGGAGTTACAGTGAGACGACCGGAACCCATCGACTGGTCAGTGGAGTATAAAACCCCGGACTTCACCTCCACCGGTGAGAGCTGACCACACACACACACACACACACACAACACACACTCACACTCACACACACACACACACACACACACACACTGATATCAGCGTTGACACTGTTTTCTGTGCAGGCATGTACGCAGCCATGCCGAGAGACATTCTGATTGTGGTGGGAAACGAGATCATTGAGGCCCCGATGGCCTGGAGGGCCCGGTTCTTTGAGTACCGCGCGTATCGGCCCCTCATTAAGGAGTACTTCAGGCGGGGAGCCAAGTGGACCACTGCACCCAAACCCACCATGAGTGACGAGCTGTACGATCAGGTGATGCACAGACACGAGTGTAAACAGATGCATGTTACGCCTCTAATGCAGCACTTCACAGCGTGTGTGTGTGTGTGTAGGATTACCCCATCCGCACCGTGGAGGACAGACATAAGCTGGCCGCTCAGGGGAAGTTTGTCACCACAGAGTTCGAGCCGTGTTTCGACGCTGCAGACTTCATCAGGGCCGGCACTGATATCTTTGTACAGAGGAGTCAGGTGAGCGTCCTCATCCGCTCTGAGCTCACTGCTCTCTCATGCTCAAGCTCCTGTTGAGAACTCTTCCAGCTCCTCACATTTTTACTGACAGGTTACAAACTTCATGGGCATCGAGTGGATGAGACGTCACCTCGCTCCCACCTACAAGATCCACATCATCTCCTTCAAAGACCCCAACCCCATGCACATCGACGCCACCTTTAACATCATCGGCCCGGGGCTGGTGCTGTCGAACCCGGATCGGCCCTGCAGGCAGGTCAGTGCTGTGCTGCCACCTAGTGTTGATCTGTAGCACTGCAGCGAGACGCTCACATGATGGTGACTCTCTCCTGCAGATCGAGATGTTCAAGAAGGCCGGCTGGACTGTGGTGACTCCTCCAGCTCCTCTTATTCCAGACAGTGAGTACAGCGGTGCATCACCGTAGCGCATGAGGTTTGACGTGAGTTTGGTGGCTTGGCTCTCAAACTCTTCAGTCAAAGCACAACCTTCAATCACATCAGAGCACCCATCTCTTTAAACACAAGCTTAAATGAAATGTAATGTTCTAAATGCATGTTATAGATGTTATTCTTTACAATTAATCTGTGAGTGTTTAATTTTGTAAAAATGTTTGGATCTTCTCCAGTCTTTTAGTGCTCTTAACACACTTTTGAGAGCCACCACAACAACCGATGCGCAGAATCAAGTCCTGCCCTACATTTTTCTTTTTCAATCACTCGTACAGTCAGGTGTCCGTCACAATACAGAAGAAAAGATCTGACCAGATTTGCAATAACATCATGATCTGATTAATAAAAACAAGTCTGTAGTTCAGATAAATCATGCTGCTATCAGGCCTATGACACACATTCACCACAATAGCAGTTTTTCAACTATAGCAATTCAGTTTAAACACTGAAATACAATAAATCTATATTTATACATTTTGGAGAAATTGAATCTGTTAGAAGCGCTTGAGTTGCTCTGTCTGATATGATTATATTGATACAATGCTCGAAACTGAGTCGAAAATGAACGTCTATTTAAGAAGTCAGAAAGAGCTTTATTGAGTATGTTTGCACATACAAGGAATTTGTTTTGGTGACAGAAGCTTCAGTACACAGACAGGTTGACAAGTGACGAGACACAGATCCCGAGCATCTTACAAATGCAATAATATATTAAAATTGTAATCAGATATTCAAACTACAACATGGAAATGAACAATTTGAATCAAATAATGTTTCAGATTAAATGTGCGTGCATTTAATTGTCCAGAGTCATGTTGTATGTCACTCAGTCACTGCTCTAATAAATGCATATTTCATATTTCACAGATTTTGTAGGTGATGAATATCCATGTACGAAATATTTGGCTTAACATGAGTGTTTTCCAATCTCAGATCATCCGCTGTGGATGTCGTCCCACACACACACCACCACGACCACAGAAGAAGAGTTTCTACCTCCTGTTTACCAAAATGAAAAAATAATAATAATAATAAAAACATAGCATATTTTGAATTGTAATGACTTCTTATATAATGCATTTTAATTATATATAATTTTCTTTTTTTACCCTACATGTGATGTGCCAAGTGTTAATTTGTAAACTCAGGTATTTTTGTAGCCATAGTTCAGCTATTTTGTAAGCATTTCATGAAAATGTAAATATCTATATGCATATGTATTTTTAGTGGCATATACTTTCCCTTCACAAGAGTGTTGTCTAGCTCTGCCTCTGCTGTCACTCTCTATAGCTGAGTCAGGACGCTGTGCTGCTTCACATCCACATGGACCGTGTTCCCGACGTTCAGGAGGCGTGTGGCTGATTGTTTTGCGTCGCGTTTGTGCTGTGATTCTCTAGTTAAACTTGTTGAGTGCGATTGCTCTTTATCAACACATGATTGTGTGTCAGGTCAAACCAATCAAATAAAGATACACTTGGAATTCAGCTTGACTGAGTTAGTTTCCATCTGAGCTTTATGAAACCTCATGATCAAAAAACTAAAGTAGTCATGAAACGAACCACAGACAGCAGCTGTTTGCGACTAGTGTACATATTCATAATCCTCTGAACGTAACGTTTTTTAGATCATATATGTAGCTGATGTGTGTATCTCAACCCTGAGTGAAATGTGAATTCATCAGTCTGACCATCACTGTTTGTCAGAGCTCATCTTTATTTGCACTCAAAAAGAAAACAAGAAACAGTATTGAGATATTAAGCACTTTTCTCTAACATCATGGCACACAGTGCTGAAGGTGCATTTATGGCCCGGAGCCACACGTTTGAGCAAGAGTTTGTTTTCATCCATCATGCTGCCCATATTTTCCATATTGTGTATTTTTAGTTAATGGAATTCAAATATAAGAACAGTTCAGCAAAGGTTAAAAAAGGATACTATATATCACTGAGTACAAATTTATCTCAGGGGTCATGTTTATTAACTAATTAATACTTTTAGATGTTGTACCAACTTATAAAGATTCTAGTTCACAGGATAAAGTTCTGTTCAGCTGTATGTTCCTCAGTTAACCCGTTCGTCTTCATCGCGTCGCGCTTTTAAAGTTCCCTCCACGCGCGAGCCCCGCCCCTCTGCGCGCAAGCGGCCGCTGGTTGGCTCGACGCAGCTCATTTGCATTGACGTCATTCGAGGCTGTAGGTCAATCCGTGCGCGTGCTTCTATTGGATCTGCTGCTGTCAAATTCGCGCCGCTGCTGTTCTCAACGCGCGTTATTCTTCGTCAGGAAACTCGCGACGCGCAAACGCCTTTTCTTCTGTCATCTTGCGGCCGTCAGTGGGGTTTCTCCGTCCGCCCGCGTGAAACAGAGGCAGAATCGTAGGCCTTTGATTGACAGCTGCTGTTTAATTCAGCTTTGGCGTTGACGCGCCGCTCCGGAGTTTCATCTAACGGCCCGTTTGATGTCATAAATGCCGGATCGCGCGTTCCGCGGCGCGTCGGGGCCAGATTTCAGCCTGTTGATGAGGAGCGGGATAAACGCGCCGGTTGGTTCCCAATGACTGCGGCTGAGGGAGCAGAAAGAGAGGCCGTGCGGAGCGATCGGGTGTGTTTGGCGCCTGTCGAAGGAGAATAAGCGCACGGACGCGCCGCACAGATGGACGCGAACCGAGCCGGAGCTTGAAATCCGCCAGAAAAGAGGCGAAGTTCGTGAGCGGACCGTGAGGATGAGGAGTAACGGGCGCGAGTGAAGCGCGGCGGCGGGGAGCAGAGCAACATGAGCAGAGTTTGTGTTTGATCGATAGACTCGATAGATCCGATCGTCTGGATGATCTGAGAGAGAAACATTCCTATTCGAGCAGCACCGGGTGAATGATGGGCTGCGCCTCCAGCATCCACATCTCCGATCGGGTGGTTTATCACAGCGGGAAAGAGTCCGAGGACTCGCCGCAGCAGAACTGCCCTCAGCCGGGCAACATCAAGCCCAGCAGCGCCTGTTGTGTGTGTGTGTGTGTGTGTGTGTGTGTGTGTGTGAGACACTGGGATAGTTCACTCAGAAACCATCATCATGTAGGCCACTGCATGACACTTGATTTCCTCTGTGGAGCTCAGTGACTGACACGCTTTTCTCCACAGACGAAACAAAGTCTTGCAGTCTTGTTCATTTCAAAGTGTTTTCTGGTCGTGTACTCATGCAATCAGTGTCAGTCTGCTGCATACTCATGCTAGTGTCGCATACTGAGATTACTGACATTATTATCATAATAATGTCACACTGACCTGTCTGTTTAGTGCACTTGTGTCTAGTTAGAGTACAGCAGCGGCAGCAGTTATTGGATACAGACTATATAGTGCATATTAAGAATCAAGAAGAATATCGTGTCCCGAAACATTAGCAGAGTAGGTGTTGGTGCTTTCTGAAGGTGATGGACCTCCTGCACACTAGAGAGAGCTAGTATGCATGAGTACAGGGTGAATGAACAGGTGTTTGATGTGTTCAGCAGATCTTTTCTTCGCTGCTCGAGGTATTTTACTCAGTTTTCAGCTTAATAGCTTCATCAGTATCAGCCTTCTGTTTTCTAAATGCATGATGTAAAACTGTTTAACCATTTTGAGACTCGCATTCAGATCCGCCCCCATTTGAGAGCCACGCCCACATCTCAACATCCAATCAGCTACGGACGCATTGAACCAAGTCCCGCCCTACAATTTTTCGTTCGAATCATCTGTTGCATCACTGCTTGCAGAGTAGGTGTTGGTGCTTTCTGAAGGTGATGGACCTCCTGCACACTAGAGAGAGCTAGTATGCATGAGTACAGGGTGAATGAACAGGTGTTTGATGTGTTCAGCAGATCTTTTCTTCGCTGCTCGAGGTATTTTACTCAGTTTTCAGCTTAATCGCTTCATCAGTATCAGCGTTCTGTTTTCTAAATGCATGATGTAAACTGTTTAACTATTTTGAGACTCGCATTCAGATCCGCCCCCATTTGAGAGCCACGCCCACATCTCAACATCCAATCAGCTACGGACGCATTGAACCAAGTCCCGCCCTACAATTTTTCGTTCGAATCATCTGTTGCATCACAGCATGGAGGGAAAGATTCATTACGGCTTTAATCTTGATACGCCTGCAGACTGATTAGGCTGAAATGAATGAGTTTTATTATTTTACCGTTTAGGATGTTCATAGTAAAAAGCATGAAATATCACACGAATTTATTTTCTTTGTTAGTCTAGCCCACGAGACGCGCCGCTGCTGCGTTATTCATTCAAAATATTAGAGAAATACAGAAGCTCAATGCGGAGAAGATCTTGATTAGGTTAAAACCGAAAACAAGCCATTCACACAGAACACATATTCAGCGCATTATCTAGACGGACAAATACGACTGCTGCACTCGCGTCTCACACAAGAGATGTAGCCATGCACAGTTAAAACAGTTAAAACTTTTAGAAAACACGTCGTGAATTTGTGGAGGTTTATTCCTTTTCACTGCGTCTCATATGTTTTTAAATGCAGTCTGTGTGCTCGGCGCTTTGGCCCTTTGTATTAAGCAGTGCATAAATACATGATGCTGTTTTGTTCATAATTGTTTATGCAACTACTAACATAAAAATGAGTTAATTTAGACGTAATGAACGTTTTTTATAGACTATTACTTCCTTGCGTTCCGTGTTTTGTTCTCACAGACACCCGGTAGCAAGTAACAAAATAACATTAAACTCCGGCAAGAAGATAAAGTCCTTTTTGCAAAATCATAGACATGTATTTACAAATCAAGTATAATGGGAACACAGAATGATCTTGGAGAGAGCTTAACCGAGCTGACTGCTGTAACCGAACGAGACCAGGGTTTAAAGGCTGAACGAATGACTGACAGCCACAGCGGAGAAAAGAGTTTGTGTGAACTTTAATGTAAGGACTTAAATATTCATATGTAGCTCCCATTAAGCTATCGTATGGCTTCAGAAGTAACACAGAATAATTCGCACAATCGAAAAAAAACAAATCTCGGATTTGGCTCGGCCCTCTCTGACCGATACCCGATCCGAGAAAAATGGCACTATCGGAGCCGATACCCGATATGAATATTGGATCGGCATATCCCTAATTAAATGTAAAATTTTTTTAAATTGTCAATAATTATCGATACCGAACGATATGAAACATTATATCGTTGATACATTTTTTAGCTATATCGCCCAGCCCTATGTTCTATTCTAATATCAGAATTTTCCAAAACAGTTTCAGTTTCTGATTCAAATACATGTTTGGAAGAAAAATTCTCTGTCCCTTGTCATTTGAAACAAAGAATATGATACATTTCTGGTCATTTAGGTTGCAGAGTTTTTTGTACTAATAATAGCGATGATGATGATGATGATGCTCACAGGACTCTCACGGGTGAAATGAGCAGATGAATGTTGTTCTGCAGGTTCATGCAGGCCGTGTGTGTGAGTGTGTGTGTGTGTGTGTGTTGTGTGAGAGTGTGAGAGTGAGTGTGAGAGTGTGAGAGTGAGTGTGAGTGTGTGAGTGTGTGAGTGTGTGAGAGTGTGAGTGCGTGTGTGAGTGCGAGTGTGAGTGTGAGAGTGTGTGTGTGTGTGTGTGTGTGATTTACTGTGCTTTAATACACACACAGATGATGCTGCTGATTCATTTACTCTTTCATCAATCAGCTGTTCTGATGGCTGTGTGTGTGTGTGTTAATCAAGGGCGCAGCAGCATCTGTGTGGCTTTCTGTCCATGATAAGACTCAAGTACAAGGTCTGACGATGGTTTTCTCATGTCTCTCAACACATTCCTCTTTGTGTATTCATGTATTTGTGTGTGTGTGTGCGGTGCTGATATAGGGTTAGTGGTTTATCTGGCCTTGGCTGAGGCTCCACTGTTCTGCATTTGTAACCCTCAATACCGGATTCAGCCAGAGTGTGTGTGTGTGAGTGTGTTACTTAAGGGACAAAGTTTGTGGATGATTGAAAGTCAAATTTGTCTTGATCTGTACGTGTATTTCATTGTAAACATGCAGTTGTTGGTTTGTGTTTGACTCTCGTCTCAGTAGATGTCAGTGTGAAGCCCCTCTTAGGAAGTGTGTGTGTGTGTGTGTGTGTGTGTGTGTTTAGTCATCAGATGATTGACAGGTGTGTGTGTGACTGACGTCTTGTTTGTGCGGATCTGAACGGCTCAGACAGGAAGTAACGCAGCACAGGGACGAGCCGAGCTGTCAGTGGGCAGTACCTCTTCTTCCTGAAGGGAAATGACATCATCATCATCATCATCATTCCCAGCAGCCCCTGTGGCTCACACACGTGTGTTCGCTGTAGTCAGACGCCGCACAGTTGCGCTGCTGCTGTTTGTGTCCGCATCTGTT